GGTGGAGAATATGTTCTTGTGAGGCATTTCTTCGAACAGTTTGCGGGCAGCGATTAAATCCCCGCGTTGGAGAAAAGTCTTGAGAAGGAAATTGGAACGGCATGTGTTGGGATCGAAGCCTGTCTTGATGATGGAAGCGTTGATGTGTATGTGAGGTTTTGGAGTAGTTAGCGTGACAAGGTTGTTGAACGCGTTGGGTTTCCTCGTGCATGGTTTTATGTAATTCATGAGATGAGTGACGGATTACGCTCGGTTTATTTGGCGCTAAAATGTCCAGTGTTTTTACAAAGGCGACAAAATGTACACATAATGTCTTATATACAAAAGTTGTTTTTAATAAAAATGAAATAACACTTTCTTTCTCTTAAAATTGATTTTAATTTTTATTAATTTTCTTATAATTATTAATTAATATTAACAACTTAAATAAAATAATAGTAGTGTAATCTAAATAATATATATTAAAGAAGCATTGATGATCATAAAATAGAATACACTAAAATTTTAAAAAAAGAATATTAATTACCAGTATTATTAATATATATCAATACAAACAAGATATACAAAAATAATACTAATTATTAAAAATTAACCTAATCTAAACTAAATAATTGATTAATATTAAAATTATATTATATTTACACATTATAAAAATAAAAATAAAAAGAAATTATGAAACAAAAATAATTACGAAAACAAATGTTACGTAGCACAAATAAATCACAAACAAATGCCACGTGTCAAAAAATTATTGGGCTAAAAAAGAAAATGCCTGTTTTTGCTAAAAATTACGCTACGTTGTATAAGCGAGGTAAATTAGAAACAAAATCGGGCAAATAAAAATTTTGAAAAAATGTAAGACAAATTTGGGGTATGACAAATAGTTTTATAGAAATTCCTTTTATATATATATATATATATATATATATATATATATATATATATATATATATATATATATATATATATATATATATATATATATATATATATATATATATATATATATATATATATATATATATATATATATATATATATATATATATATATATATATATATATATATATATATATATATATATATATATATATATATATATATATATATATATATATATATATATATATATATATATATATATATATATATATATATATATATATATATATATATATATATATATATATATATATATAATGAAAATGTAATTTTTGTGTAAAAATGATAAGAATATTAGTCATTAAACTAAAAATAAATGAGATTAAAATTTTTATTTAAGAAACATGTTTGTCTCTTTCATTATTTATGTGCGTTGAAATTCATGTTCCATTAAATAATAGGACACACACATATTTTAATCTAAACCATTTATTTTTAATCTAAGAATTGATAGTTATTTTTATCATTTTCACATGAAAATAACATCCTTATTATATATATATATATATATATATATATATATATATATATATATATATATATATATATATATATATATATATATATATATATATATATATATATATATATATATATATATATATATATATATATATATATATATATATATATATATATATAAAATAACCATTTATATAATAGTGTTATATGATATATAATACTATGATATATAGGTAGTATGGTTTAAAATTTATTATATATGTCATGGAGTAACGTCTTAAAAAATATTAGTATATTTAATCCAAGAAATCATATCACACAAAAGAGAGTGAGTATGATAATATAATAATTTACAAATTAGTGGGCATGGGCCCACACTTTACTCTAAATAGCTCTGTTTTTACTCATATGTGAGTTACATATCCTAAATGTGATGAAGAAGTTTCAACAACTAAGGTTATAAGAGTTTATATTCGAGTTGATGTTGGAAGAATTGTTGTTGAAAAGAGTTATGGAAACTGAGTTTTGATGAAAATTGCTTAGAGTTTATGTTAAGATATTTATAATAAAAAGAGTGGTGTTAATAAGTAAACAAAAAATTAGAGTCTAATTTTGTGAAGTATTTATGTAAAAGAACACACATATTAATTTTTAGTCAAAACTAAGAGAATAAATTAAGTAAAAATTTTAAAAAAACGTCATATTTTAGAAACTCGTTTAAAGAACTATCACGTAGATTTTTAGATAAAATTGAGGAAATAGATTAATTAATAATTAAAAATAATTAAAAATAAAATAAAATATATTTAAAAATATTGATGCAAAAAATATTACCCTTCGGTTGGGTCACATAATGAGAAATAATATAAATTAAAAATAAATAAAAAATAATAGAAATAAAACATTTGAAAATATTAACTTTGTAATTCAAAATAAATAAATAAATAAAGGAAAAGAGGAAAGGCGCCAAATGAAAAATAGTGACCCTAAACTAATTGAAAATTTTATATAAAAAAGAACATAACATACAATATTTAGGATTCGAAACGACGTCTCTAATAGTTATATTTCCTCGATTCTTGACAAAATTGAAGGTATAGGTTCTATATTTTTTATAAATAAAAAATTAAACATGGCACTGGCAGAACATGTATTTCGATTTTTGGTTGATCAAGTGAAAGTTTTATTATAAAATATATAATTTGTAGTAGATAAGTGTGTTTAAACTCTCAATACTTAAAATGTAAAATATTACTCCCTAAGTCTCATAATAGGTGTCTTTTTAAAAAAATTTATACTTTTTAAAATAATGATTAATTGTGTTGATTTTAATGATAAAATAAATATCATTTATTAAGATAACTTTGTTAGTAATAAATAATGAAATAGTTACATTATTTAAAATATAATAAATAAGAATAAATTAATAAAAATAATAATAAATATTACATTAATATTTTTAATATATAAATAATTTGAGACAAATAAAAATAATTAAAAAGAAACATATTGTAAAACGGAAGGAGTAGTTAATTAGATACATTCTATATAGAAGAATGTAATTTGATTCAAAAACCAAAAACCAAATAAATGAAAAGCCATATACACAAAACTAGAGAAATTATTTTTGTGTGTTGGTCCAATAGAAATGTGGGAATACTATCCAAGAATTCTAAAAGAACAATCAAGATGTATTCACAGGCAGGTAAGAAAGTCTAATTTTGTTTCCAAGATACATTCACTCATATTGCCATCCCCCAATTACTAATTACAAGGTAATGCATTTTCTCTATGATTATTTTACAGGTAATAAAGATTTGTGGAAGTATATAAATAATGCATTTTCTCTGTGATTATTTTACAAGTATTAAAGATTTGTGGAATATATGGCATCTATTGTTTCAATTTTAAAAAAAATTCTTTGTATTTTTAAAAATGAATTTTATAAAATCATACTTTAAAAATATTACAAAATAAAGATATTAAAAAATTATATCTTTAAAAATTAAAATATACTCGAAATTGTAATTTTTTTAAAAATTGTATCTTAAAAATTATTTTTATAAAAAAAGATATTTGTAATTTTTTGAAATTTTGATATCCATAATTTTTTTAATAAAATGATAAAATATCCAAAATAAAAAGTTTTAAAAATATTATTTTAAATATTTCACCATTTTAAGAATAACTACTTAAATCAAATTAAAACTTTTTAATATTACATTATAAAAATTATTTTAAACAAAAGGCAAAACAAACTAGCCGATAATTCTAACAAAAACAATTTGAGGGAATTTCCACACTATCAATGTTTTAGCTAAAGTTGGGATAAGTTTGACATGTTAACATTAAGTTATGTAGATATGGAAGTGTGAGGAAGGGTAATAACATAAGCTATGGAATCAATTTCATCATTAAAATAAAATAAAAAAAGTTTCAAAAATGAATTTCAGCAATCAAAACAAAAACACAAGCACAAGCAGACTAACATTCACTTAATTTATAAGTTTAATACTTCGTTAGTTGTTGATAGTTTGTGTTTCATTCACCAAATTGCATGCCTTTCCCCACCAACTGAATATCTCTGCAGAATTTATTAAACGATAACCCTCCGTTGGAAACAAAACTCCAACAATATTGCTTTTGGATCGGAAAGGAAAATCATAGGGATGAATTTGCAATCAAAGTTGTCCGCAAAAAGAAAAATCATAAGGAAGAATTGGACTTATTTTTAGTGAAAGGTGACAGGTCAGATTTGTTTTCCTTCCTATTTCTTCCTTATTAGTTTTGTTCAGAAAAAAAACAAAAACAAAACGTAGATGAGAAAAAATGATGACATTTTTTAACACGTGGAACTTTATTCTTCGCTTTCATTGTTAATATTTTTCGTAAGTTTTTAGCATTTTCCTTTATTTATACGAACTTGTTTTCTTCCGCCAAAACTCAATTTGATAGGACTCATAATTTAACTTGTTTTCTTCTGCCAAAACTCAGTTAGATAGGACTCATAATCTAATGCAAACACATGTTGAATCGATATCAAAAAAAATTCATGGAAAAAACTTGAAAAGAGCAATTCGTAAATCATTTTTGTTTTTGGAATCGTATAAGAGAATTGCGATTATGGTATTTAAAAAAAATTATTTCCTTGCAAAGAGAGAAAATACTCTACCAAGGCATCATTTTGAATAGTGCATATGTAAAATCAAAGCACCAACAAAATTACAGCCAACCATGGATCTATTGTTTCCAGTAGCTAAAACAGAACCCTTTTTTTATCAATATAGCTAAAACAGAACCTAAAGCAACATTGATGATGATGTATTCCCTTGTCAAATGAAGAGGAGCTCAGGATTTATAATTTTCCTAGAGACTCACTAACTCTTCAATTAAAACATCCTAATGGATTGGTTATAAACTTCCTAGAACTAGAAAACATGGAAATAGAAAACCACCAGAACTTGCCTGGAGACTAATCTTTTGTATTCACACCACAAACCCCTTTTAAAACCTGTCACTTACTGCATGAAAATATAACTTTGTTAATGTGGAAGTAAAACTAGAAGACAATCTCGCATGTGAGTCAATTACGTACCTATGCATTATCTCCTACAGGAGCTCGGGCAGACTCCGGCTTTTGTTCCTCAACTGTAAAAAATGGAGGAACTTCAGGAAAATAGAAATGTTAAAGGGCCTAAAAGTAAATAATTTAGTGTTCACTGTTCAATGAGAAAATAACAATGCATAGGAAAGAGGTAAGGTAAGTTTAAACGGAAAGTAACAATGGTGAAATTGAGGCATAGTAGACAGTACATCATTATATAAATGAGTTTAAAACAACCAAACTGAATACTGACTTTTTGCTATATAAAAAGGATGCGCATACACTTTTATCTTTCAGACAAAAGATTGTTTTTTTCCATTACAATGTTCAATACGCATTTCCTCAGACAAACTTGATGCAAAACTAGCAAGCTGGAAGAAGATAGATGACCAGAGCAAATCACTTAAAAATAGCTTAAGATAACAGTGTGTGTTTACACAAAAATAGAAGTACTTAAATACCTAACTTACTGAGTCATAGAAAAGCTAGAAAAAATCTAAAATAATTTAATTCTAAAAGAAACACTAGAGACAAACTATACCACTACTGAAACCTAATGCCAGAAGTTAATAAAGATATTCTATAGCTATATTCCAATCAAGTTGTAGTTAAATATACATAAAACCCCAATGGTTAACTACAAAATTCAGCAACTCAAAATCCTAATAACCTGCTAGAATTAAACAATTCCCACTAAAATAATTATCAGTATTATAGACAACACGTAAGATTCAGTGTAGCAATGAGGATCATAACCTACAAGTTGGTGCTTGGTTACCATATATTTGGTTGACTTCAATTGTTATAAGAATGAAGTAATTAGACAGTTGAACCTGCTCCACAGTGAGGTCAAATTACTTAGCTGTCACAGACATTTATCACTTACGATGTTATAAATCTCGGATACAGAGGAGCGACCGACCCCAAAACTGGGACGGCAGGTGCGGGGTGGTCATATATTTTGAACATACTATGTCTTCTGTTTGACCCGAAAACTGGGATTGGGGGATGTGTCACTGATCGATGATGGTTGAGAAGGAGCAGGAGTTTTCATAGCTATTGGTACGTGAACAGTTTGGGAAGGTAATGTGTTGGAATAATGACTGCTGGCAGTGGCTAGAACCACTAATGTTGGAAAATAAAGGGTTTGGGAAATGACAGCTGGCAGTTATGAATCACAGTTCGAAGGTTACAAAGAGAAAGCAGAGAAGAGAGAAGGTTGCACAGATGAGAAGACTAGAGAAAATAAGTTTTTTTAATGTGCAAAAACCCTAAACTACCCCTATGTCGACTCAATTGTAACACGACGGTGCTTCTAGGTTTTCTGGCCCACAACACTGGCACTTCTATCCCAGCACTTAAGATGCAAAACAAGACACAAAGGCAGCTGCAACTCCAATCTGGTCTAAACAGATGCGTCTGAGGGGGGGGGGTGGGGGGGCGCTAGCCACTGCTTCACCCAGCCTGTTCCAATCTTGTTTCACGAAACATAACAAGATCTAGCTCTCTAAACCTGATTATTAAATCTTCCATTTGATTTTGTTCTGATGCAAAAATAAGTTTATCAAGAAAGTGGGAGGACACCCTATTCTATTAAGAACTAACAATCACGTGAACAAAGAGAGAACAATCTGAAACAAGCATGTCACCAACACATACTTCACACGCTCTTCATATCAAATTAATGAAATTATAGGAGAAGACTAGTTTCCACCTCCTTCCTCAGGAATGTCAGAAGTCCACAGTGTCAGGTTGTCCCTCAGAAGCTGCATGATCAGCGTGCTGTCTTTGTAAGATTCCTCATTGAGAGAATCCAACTCAGCAATGGCTACATCAAATGCTTGCTTGGCAAGGTGACAGGCCCTGAAATACAAAAGTGTAACATTAATAAAATAGCTTTAGAGACTGACCTAGCATGAACACAAAATAAATTAGTAAATTTATATTTAGGTAATGTCAGATAGATATACCTTTCAGGAGAGTTCAAGATTTCATAATAGAAGACAGAGAAGTTCAAAGCCAAACCCAGTCTGACAGGATGAGTCGGAGGTAACTCGGTCTCTGCAGCAGTGGAAGCTTCCTGCAATTATTTTCACGTATGAATGTTAAGAGTTGACATGAACATTTCCAATATTACTTTTGAAACTCATCGAAAAATCTAGCCTTCTCTCTGACAAAATGGGGGTGTTTTAAAGTAAATGAGGTCACACCTCTTAAACCAATAACAGTTCAGTCTTGAGATAAATGAAAGGCATAGTAAACAATGTCATGCCTTAAGACTAAGCATAACTGCACCACTACCGTCTAGCATCTCTCTTAATCTTTCAATCCATAAGAAGCATATTTTTACACAGTTAAGAACCACTACACTAACCACTATAAAGTGTATTACCATTTACCACTAACTAATTCAGACGCACAAATCTTATATGTAAGAAACATAGTAAGATTGAAGCATCCTTTTATAAGTTTTAGTCAATAACAAATGCTTTACACAAATGACAGAATTTGATGGAAAATTATTAGAATAAACAAAAAAATCATTAGTGATTCAAAAAGCATATTGATATGGCATGTCCAATGGAATGCTTTGCATAAGAAAGGAATTCATACATCTATTGCATATATTTAAGTCAGAATGGATATAATTGTACAGTAGTTCAATCCAAGCACGTTTAAGCACAAACATGAAGGGTAACAAACTTGATGACCTTTTCAATCACACAGAACATAACATTCAAGGGAAATTTTATAACACCATAACACCAACACCTCTGAAAAAATGTGTGGACACCAACACATGTGATTAAGTTCAATTTATTCATTTTTTTTAAAAATTATTACCAGTGACAGATGTGTTGTGTATGGTGTTCGTGTTTCATATAATATACACAATATGTGTGAGCATACCTGATATGCTTTCAAGGACTGATCAGCAGCCTCTTTCCTGTCATCCCCACTCTTAAACTCAGCCAGATAACGATAATAGTCACCTTTCCTACAATGTAATGAAAGATAAACCAAATCAACAACATTCAAAATCCAATGAAAATAAATATATCAAAATCAAAATCAAAATTGCTTACATTTTGTAGTAAAACACATTTGCTTCACCAGACGAATTAGGAATAAGATGCTCATCAATCACAGCCATGACATCAGTGCAGATATCAGACAACTCAGATTCAACTTTTTTTCTATACTCCCTAATCCGATTCACATTCACATCGTTACCTTTCGTTTCCTCTCTTTGTTCAATCGACGAAAGAATCCTCCACGAGGCCCTACGTCCTCCCACAACATTCTTATAAGCAACAGACAGAAGATTACGCTCTTCAACCGTCAATTCAACGTCAAGCTTAGCAACTTTCTTCATCGCTTCAACCATTTCTAAACGGAACAATAATAATAATAACAATAACAACAAACAAATCAGCGAAAAATGAGAGAATTCAAAAGCGAAAATAGAAAGTTTGCGAAATCTAACCTTCGTAGCGTTCGGCTTGTTCGGCGAGCTTGGCGGTGTAGACGAAGCTTTCGTTGGCGGATGCCATGGCGGATCTAGGAGGTTTGAGTTTGCGCAACGGTTTTGTTTGTTTGGTTGTTGATGTGAGGGTGGTGGTGAAATGGAAGTGAGAGTCAGGGTTTCGGTTTTATAGACACGCGTTTGGAAGTGATTAGCGTTGCGTTGGGTCCAAATTTGGATATATTTTGAAATGGAAGTTTAAAATTTTTTGGTATTTAAAAGGAAAGTACTAGTATTTTGTTAAATCTTGATTTGGGTTATAAAAAGGATATTCTCCATCCATTTTGAAATGATTCAATTCATGATGGTAATATAAATATCGTCAAGATGGACCAATGTTATCGGATGACACACATTTTTAATGACATTAAAATATATTAATCTCTATTAATGAACTTATAAAATCTAAAAGAGTCGAGAAGAACAAATTTATTAGATGACGAACCTTCTTCATAACTAGGTATGATAACACAACGGAGTGGGGAGCACGTTTAAGGATTATAAGCTCCGCCCCTGAGTTTTTCCACCCCTCCTCCTTCTATCATCAACTACTTAATTTACCCTTCACTTGATTTTTACTTAACACTAGATCATGCCCTTTTTGGTAATTTATTAAATATAAAAAATTTGACCAATAGCATGGTTCATTTTTGCCAAGTGGCAAAAGTTTTTTTAAAAACTTTTGTCTTCCTCTTTCCCTCACTTTCTCCCTCTTTTCAATTTTCCCTCTCATCTCTTATTCCCCTAAAAAAACCCAAAACTGACATCCCCCCTTCTCCCTCGTCTCCCTTATGCTTCATTTCACCATTTTCTCTCTTCTCTCTATTTTCTCTGCAAACCTTAGCGCAGCCGCGACTTTCACCATCTTCTTCAAGAGTTCAGCCGCAAAAGGAGTTCTGACGGCGTCCCTCGCCATTTTCAACCAATTTCTGCTATGTTTCTCACCAACCTACATTCCAACCCTTTTTTGTCTACTGTTCCTCAGTCTCAACTTTTCTTCCTCCATCCTTCATGACTCAACCTTTTGAGAAGATTAGCGATATCAACAAGTTGTTGAGAAGCTACATGTGTTAGTTACACCGTAACGATATCGTTTTGAGTTTTGTTTGAAGGTGAGATAATACTTAGAAGGGGGGTTGAATAAGTATGAAAGATTAAACTTAGAATTAAAAACACAATTATTTTTATCCTGGTTCGTTGAACTCAACTACTCCAGTCCACCCTTTCTAGAGTGATTTGCCTTTCTCAATCAAGGACTTAATCCACTATTTAATCAAACAGATTACAATAGTAACACCTAAGAACAACTGTTCTTAGTCTTCTCAAGAGCTACTGATTCCAACTGAATCCTCTTAAGGAAAACCTTTACAATCAATGTAAATCTAATACAAGAGTAAGAATGCTTCTAAAAAGCTATTATCACAACTGTGATATTTCTCTTAAGTTTAAGTACAATGAAATTAATTCTAAGAATGAATATGAAAGTATGAGAGCTTGAATGTTTTAATTTCTTTTCAGCAAAACGTCTAACTGAAGAATTTGGTGGAGTCTTGCTTTTATAGGCAGCTGATCCAAGGTGAGCTGCACGTTGAGAAGAGTGTCCCAAAAGGTCTGAGCCTTTTTGTCTTCACATCAAGTGACCTTTCCTAGAAGAAGAAAGCACAGAAAAATCATTTTTGTCTGTGTTCTTGTGTCTAGCATAAATGAGGAAAGAGACGTTTGATTTACTCCAACGGATATAATCTTTGAATATTTCTTCTTCAGTTTTTAGCAAGTTCATCAGAGTCTAATTGAGTCAGAGTCTTCTGATGATGATCAGAGCTTGCTGGATCAGAGTCTTCTGCAGCAGGTGTGTTTTCAGCGTGTTAAATATCAGAGCATATTTGAGACAGAACTTCAGTACTGGCAGCTTTAGTACTCTCAGAATCTTCTGTAGAAACTATGCTTTGAAAAACTCTTCATACAAAATTCTTCTTTGCTTCAGATGCTTCTGCCTGCTTCAGATCCTTCTGGAGCTTCTGCTTCAGAATCTTCTGGAGCTTCTTGCTTCAGATCCTTCTGGAGGCTACGCTCAGAATCTTTTGGAGGCAGCAATCAGAATCTTCTAATGAGAGCATCTGGCGCTTCAGAGTCTAGTTAATTTCTTGCATTCAATTCTGATTTGCTTCTGGAGTATTAATTTCTTTACTATCTGCAGTAAAAACTCTCAAGCAAATTTTAGAGTATATAATTCTTAAATACAAAATTTTCTAATAGTTATCATCCAAACATAGAGATATTATTAAGAACCAATTTGTGTTCTAACAATCTCCCCCTTTTTTATGATGACAAAAACATCAGAAATTTTGTTTAATTGAAAATATTGAAATTATAACTCCCCCTGAGATGTTGAATCTCCCCCTGAGTTAAATATAGATAAGGAATAGAAACTTCCCTTTTGTCTTGAGTAATCTTCAGAGTTAGATCTTGTTTGTTCTTTTAACATTTGAAAGTCAGAATGTCTTGCAGAATTAATATTCAGAGTTTGATAATAGTCATAATGATCTGAGAGACTCAGAGTTTCTTTTACAGAATGTACTATCAAAAGTTCTGAAATACTCAGATTAAATGTTAGATAGAATAAATATGTCTGAAGTTTCATTCTGGTGAAGTTATATTAAACAGTTCAAATCTATATTTTCTCCCCCTTTTTTGTCATAAGCAAAAAGTAAAAAAAAACTTTAAAAAGACAAATAAAAGGAAACAGTAAATGAGATAATTCAGTGGAGAAAATTTTGATTCATTCAGTAAGATCAGATCAAGAGTACATGCATCGGAAGATATATAAAAAAATACATAGCAAACATCAGATGCAAAAACAACAGAATGAAAAAAATGAAAATCTAAGAGTGTTTGGACAAAAGCATCTTCAATAGATCTGTAATCTTAGAGGAGGACTGCTCTTGCTTGGACATCCACTTAGCCATTGTTTCATTCTTTTGATCCTGCTTAGACATCCATTCTGTCATGTCCTCAGACTTCTTATCCTGTTTTGCCATCCAGGACTTGATCTCTGATTGGCCAGCTTCCAGAGTAGCAATCTTATCTTCAAAATCTGGATGTTCTTTCTTTATCTCAGATGAAGAAGTATGATCAGGTTCTGGAGCTTGAACAGAGTCAATTTCCATGGGTTCTGTAGAGTCTAGAGCATTAGAACTAGAAGGAGGGTCTACCAGAGTCATGGCCAAATGATTTTCTTCAGATGCAATTTCAGTAGTTTCTTCTGATGATGGAGGAGCATCTGTAAGGAGCAGAAGTTCAGATTTCTTGACAGTCCAGAATAGAGTTCTTGCAGCCTCAGCAAATCTGAGCTTCGTATCATCAGAACATATGTTCTTCAGATTTGAGGCCACAGAGTTGAATCTGTTGATGAATCCATTCCAAATGATATCAGATTCTTTGGCATCCATTGTTACTGAGCATTTCTTCTGCACAGTACCTAGATACAACTGTATTTCTTGCAAAAAAGTTTGAAATAAATGATTAACATTAAGTCTGGGCTTAGGATGTAACAGAGTTTCCAGAGTTATTGGTTTTGGTTGGGGAGTTAGTGGAAAATTTGATTTTTGGATGGAGATCAGAGGAGGAGGATAGTAAGGAATGAAAGGAATTTCAGGAGCTTTTTTGGATCTGATTAAGGCATTTAACAGATGAGGTTTTGCTCTGGTGTGAAGGGTGACTACATCAAAAGGTTTATTTGAGTAGGTTTGGAAGGCAGATTTGGGGGGTTCATCAGAAGCAACATTGTTATCAGAGGAAATTGGTATAGCTGAAGCAACAGCTTTATCAGTTTTAGCAGAGCAGGATATAGTTGCTAATGAATCTACATCTGACTTGGATTTTATATAGTCAAGAATCACAGATGGAAGGGTCATTGTGAGTTTAGGTTTCAGAGGGTTGATAGGGTCAGATGGTTCAACTCTGTCATAAAAATCTTTGAGTTTGAAGCCATATGCCAAATTGTGAAATAGTGATGAGACTTGGGCACAAGAAATAGATGATCTTGGGTTAGACTTTGGGATCAATATTTCAGATGATGGTGCAGGTGTGGGAATAGGATCTGGAATGGGAGCTTTAGAAGGTATATTGGGTTCTGGTTGGTTTACCTCAGAGTCTCGGTGAGATGGAGAGACTAGAAAGTCTGGGTGAATGTCAGATTTTGAGGAGTTTGAAGAGGTGGTTGGTGTGCAGGAAGTAGAAGATACTTGAAACACAGTTTTTAAGGGTGTGACATCAAGAACTTTTGTCTCAGGAATGTTGGGTTCAGAAGTGTTGGTTGGTTCTGAAGGAATTTCAGAGGGTTTTGATGGTTGTTCTGAGATAGGTGTATCAGATGGAATTGTGATTGGTTCAGATGAGACTTGAACAGGTGTTATTTTTGTAGGTTCAGATGCAGTGGGTTCAGATGATTTTGATGGTGGATTATTTGAAGGTGGTTGATTTTCAGAGGCTTTTTCTGATGGAGGTTCTTGTGGTTTTTCAGGTTGTTTTTCTTGTGGGTGTTGTTGTTGTTCAGATGGCTTTTGTTTAGGTGGTTCAGAGGATTTTTGTTGTACAGAAGGTTGTGGTTGTTGTTCTGTAGGTTGTTGTTCTGAGGGTTGTTTCTGTGAAGATTGTTTTTTAGGAACAAACTGTTTGATTTGGATTATTGGTTGAGATTATTGTGGTACAGAGACTTTTGGTGTTGGAATTGTTTTTGTTGTTGTTGGTGTTGGAACAGATGCTTGTTTTTGTGGTGATTTAGAAAGTGGAGCAGTAACAGAAGTATTTTGTGTAGAGGTTGGTTTTGGAGTAGACTTAATATTAGAATCATTTAAAACAACATTACTTGCAGAAGATACAGAAGATTTAGTACCTTTTATCTTGATTCTCTTGGCTGGTACAGAAGAAGTGTCTCCAGAATCTTTCCTCTTCAAGAGCTTCTATGGCTTCTCAGCAATCTTGACCTTCTTCTGAACAGGTGCAGCTTCTGCTTCTGGCTGAGTCCTC